GGCACAGAAAAAGAACCACACCGTGGGTATCAAAAAGTAATTCGCAACCAAAATTTCAATAAAAAGGGGAACAAAAAAGTTTTTTTCCCAAAAATATTAGAAAGAACTTGGAACTTTGGAAAGGGAAAGATCTGAAAGCGGTAGGGGTAACCGGGAAAAACGATACCGGATGGGCAAACGATGGCATGGAGAGATACCCCAAAAAAGCTTTTCCGGGCACCAGGATCGTGATCTTGGGACGCTAGCGCCTTCGTCTTTGGGCAGGGCCTGTGAAGATACGAGTTTGCTTTTCAAATTTCTTGTTTTTTAAAAACTCAATAAACCGGGGGTCTAGCACTATTCTGGCCTCAAGAAGCGTCCTCTGCTTTATATTATATAATTCGTAGGGGACAAAAACGTACACGTAATTCTGCATTTTAAAATGGAAATTAAAAAATGGTTCCCGGAGCCGACATTTCATTTTATAAATTTAGCTGCAAAAATCCCTCCCCCCCCCCCCCCTCCCCCCCCCCCCCCCCCCCCCCCCAAAGGTAGACAGGTCCTCAAAAAGCTTGATACGAGTTGACAGAGGTCTATACTTAATTAAGAGATCAGAAACGGATGGAACAGAGAAAGAAAGTAACTTTAAAGTATTACAACTCACAAACATTTTAAATTAAATAAGTATGCTGATGTTATGGTAGAATTAGGATGAAACGTTCAAAAACGGAAATGTAAATTGAAGAGTTGCTGTATAGTCCTTTAAACCTTCTTATTGCTTCTTGGTTTAACCCTTTTAAGGCACTGCAGGACAAGCAGGTCTTTAGGGCCACTTGGATAGTGCAGTCGCCACAAATTGTGCACTTTAGGATGTCTATTGTTTCCCCGGAGAGGAAAATATCAGTCACCTTACTGAGGATTTTAGGAGTTTCCTGACTGATAGCCCACTGTTCTAACCGTTTGAGTAGCTCCACATTGCTCTCATTCTTCTCTCAACATGTAAATCAACGTCCCGGGGCTAATGGTGCCATCTCTATGCTAAGTGGCTAAATCAATCTGAAAGAAAGCTGATGCGTCTCTTGTACCTGTCTGTTCTGATCTTTACATCCTAACATCTCTTTCTTTGCAGCGACGAGGACGAACTGCTCCCAAAGCGCAATATTCGTTCATTTTCTTTATCTCTCTCTCTCTCTCTCTCTCTCTCTCTCTCTCTCTCTCTCTCTCTCTCTCTCTCTCTCTCTCTCTCTCACTCTTTCTCTCAGATTATTAATAGTGTCGACGGAGAATAGAAGCTGGTCATCTGCAATTGTTCTAGCAGGCCTAACAAATCCATCACCGTTTTTCTTGGTTCATTGCCAGCCACGAGACATGGACAGCGGTGACTCCACAAACAATTACATTCACTTTTTCCACATTTGTGTTCGTCTATATGCGTTTTAAATTTTAAAAAAATCTTAAAATTATTCAAAATATATTTAAAAACAAACGGTTTCTTGTATTTTAAACGAAAAATGTGTTTACATTTTTGAGACACCCTGTGCTTGAAAAAAATAAAATAAAATGCTGTTTTGCCCCTCGGCTTTCATTATCTAGCCAGTACAACCTACAGAAGATTACGGTGCAATATGGAGCAACATCTTCTGTTGGTCATTGCCGCCAGTTTGGTGGTTTGTGGGACATCTAGACTTATAGATCTTTCTCATGACCACGGACCAGACACCCTTATGTCCCCGAATGTTCCACACTTCAACAGAAACACGACCTTTGCTGGCGACTATTTACCTGGAATATAGTAAGTTGAAACCACATATGTTTTTCTCCTTCTTATATTCTCAATTTTTGTTTCTTCTTTCTTTTTTTTTCATATTACTATTTTTGTCATATTACTTTTTTTCATATTTCTTTTTTCAGTCTTTATTATTATTTGTATAATTTAAAAAATTATTTTATGTAAAATTGTTTAATGTATCTATATAAAATATATCGGTTCTCTGGCTAAGTCGATGCGAACGCTTCCGTGCGCCTTGCGTTGGTTTCGACAGTGATATCAGAGGGCCGACCGTCCAGGAGGCAATTGCAAACTACTGGACGTAAATTTGCCTAGAGAAACCACACAACAACCAGGGGCTGCTGGGTTTGGTTCTGCAACGTCCTGGAAAAGATACGCAACTAACCTATATAAAATATGCGGCGTCCATGGCTTAGGCGTTACGAGTCCGACTCTCAATTCCAAAGTACCGCGATCTAAACCCACTACTGGCTGCGTGGATTGTTATCATTGTACGGGGCGTTGCTGGTCGGCCCAGTCTAAAGTGGGTACCAGGATGTGTGTCCTGGAGAAGTAAAGTCAGCCGGCGTAATGCTTACCACATTACCCACCTAGTGCTGATTGGTTAGTAAAAATATAGGTGCTCTTCCTATATGCCCGATGCGCCTAAGACGTGAAAAGGGATCTTTACTTATATAAAATATAAACACATCCTATGCTTCAGCTCCTCTTTCTACTCTTCTTTTTATTGTTCTCCTCCGTTCCTCTGTCTTCTGCTTATTGTTCTCCTCCTCCTCTGTCTTCTTCTTATTGTTCTTCCTCCTCCTCTGTCCTTCTGCTTATTGTTCTTCTCCTCCTCCTTTGTCTTCTTCTTATTATAAATCATAATCATCATGTTCTTAGAGGCTGTTGTAATTTATGTGCACATCCTATAAAATAAAATAAAACTAAGTGAACATCCTATAAGTGTATTGTACTGTTTAATTACTGTAAACCATCTCAGACAAACTGAAACAAGTGCTACATATTGAACCACATTGATTCCCTCGTGTGGGTTTCTGGGGTTCCATCCTGGAGAACAAAGAATAAACTCCCTAACAAGCATGTCGTAGAAGGCGACTCAATTAAGGGTGTTTTTCTTAAAGTCCGTGTGTGCATCTGTCTTGCGAAGCAAGGAACCAGCCGCCTGCATACACATTAGCTGTAAAAAGGATGTGCACGGGGAATCAAGTTCTCTGGATCAAAGCCCGAAGTCCAAAAGTAGACAAACAACCAAAACTTTCCGTAGTTTATATTCGGTTGAATGCGAAGAGGAAGAAATTGCGTCGATGTATAAGTTGTTGTCTAGAAAAGAGTGCGATGTTTGTAATTATGTCATTGTATTACCATGTGTGTCAACTGACTGAGAACACTTTTATGGCCCGTTTCCCTGGTGCCATGACTTCAATTCTTTCAGCTTTTGATCGCAGATAAATATGTTTGTCCTCAGTGTCGAATCAGGCGTTTACTCAGCGGTGAACATGGTGGGACGCACCTGGACCCGCTCCTGGTGCACTTTCAGCGAGGTAATAGGCCTCTCCTTCCTTACCGGAGCATCTATTTCGTTACTGTCCCACACACTCTTACACAGGCACGTGCACACACATTACATATACCGGATACAGATACATCGATAACTCCTCCCTGTGGTACTCCCTTGCCGAAGCAACACTTTATGCTCTGCTGGTTTTCAAGTCTGACTTTTAGTTCTCCGGCTGTGTGTAAGAAGGATTGGATCCATTTTAGCATGTTTCCTTGTATTCATTTCTCTTCAGTTTTGCAATGAGACCATCTTTCCAGACTTTGTCAAAAAGCTTGTTTTGAAGTCACCCCATACCGCCAGGACCTTTTTCTTTTCTTGGAAGGCATCCTCTACAGCTTGTGACAGGTAGGTGACTTGGTCTTCTATGCTGTGACATTCCCTAAACCCAGCCTGCTCTGGCTCCAAGATCTGCTCAGATTCTAAGTGCCATTTCAGTCTTGAATTTGTTAATTCTTTCTAATGTCTTTCCTACACAGCTTGTGAGACTAATTGGGCGATAGTTAGAAGCCTGTGTCTTAATTTTTCCTTTTTTTTAAAAAGGGTATTATGATGGCTTCTCTCCATACTTGAGGCACCAAACCTTTCTCCCAGCTGATGTTGAAAATTTCCAGCAGCTTTACTTTGGGGGCAGTTGTCAAAACCGTACAGCTTAGGATGTTCATATTTCCCACCGACAGAAAATGTTTGTTTGTTTTAGTATCCAGAAGCCATGAGTTGTTAACCCTTAGGCTCGGTATTATGATATGGCAACCTTTCGGCCTTCATTCCATTGTAAATACCGTAAATCTGGGAGAAAATGTGGCTTTTCTGCCTACCCCGGAAGTGACAGACCGGACCACAAGGAATTCGTCACCCGCTCACCGCGCAATCCGGTTTAGCCAACTACTCTAGAGAGCCGAGCCACCGACAGAAAAAATTGTCACAACCACAGCCAGGACTCGACCCACGTCCCTCGCTTTGGACCTAGCTTTCTTGCCACTTGACCAGCTGCTACAAACCTATTATTTTAATTGTTTGCCTTTTAAATTGTTAACAGCTTTTATTTGCACCTGTTTGTTGTCCTTTAAAATTAAATTAAAATTGTGTTTTTGTTTTTAGCTGCGTCTGTTACTTTTTTTTTAAAATTGTGATGTGTGCCTGCAGGGGGGCAGCAGCTGCAACAGATCCCGCTGGAGAATACAATAGCTGAAGGTGTTATGATTGACTGTTCGGCAGAAGCAGCAGAAGATCCCAGTTTTTTAGTCCCACTTCAAAAGGTACAGACATATCAGTTTAAGAAGTCCGATTTGCAAAAATGTAAACCTGTTTCTTCTTCTTTTGTTTAGTCTTCTAGGGTTTTCAGTTGTCGACAGAGATATAAGCAATGTTTTCTTGCTCTTTCTGGCTGCCTCGACCAGAGACACATTTTTGTAGAATTTTCTCTGATGTTATCCATATACTTGTTCATGGTCTGCCTCCTGCTCTACATTCTTCTTCTCTTTTGAAGTATGCTTTGCGTAGTATTTAGCGTCACCTGGCATTCTCTCTACCTAAGCAACCCATATTATTTGCAGTTCTGTTTATATCTCAGCATATTCCTTGCTGTGATAATAAATCCATTGCCGGCTTAAACAGCAATACTTTAATTAATGAAAGCTTTTGACGAGGCCAAATGACCAACAGACCATACCGAAAAATACAAATTGATGCTTATGGTAAACTCTCAAAACAAGGCCAAGTGACACGGTTAAATTGTGAACCGGATACATTAGACTCAGTTATATTATAATAGCATGTTTCAGAATGTTTTTTAATCGAGGTTTAGCCCAAATTTTCTCTCTCTCTCTCTCTCTCTCTCTCTCCTCTCTCTCTCCACCTCTCTCTCTCTCTCTCTCTTCCTCTCTCTCTCTCTCTCTCCTCTCCCTCTCTCTTCTCTCTTTCTCTCCTCTCCTTCCCTCGCTCTCTCCACTGAGTGGTTAGTTCATAACGTAACACAAAACTGTAAACTCTAGGCTAATGGATTTCCGAAACACGCGCACTCATGAAACTAAACGTCGAACTTCGAAACGGAAACCATGACAATGACGGGACGGAGAATGGGACTCACAGCTCATGGCATCAGCCAGTCTGACTAGCAAGACCTGAAAACAATATAAAGTCTTTCACATGTACATACGATTTCAGGATCATTGTTGCCATTAACCACTTCACCAAAGACTTCTTCTTTTTGTGCGCCTATCACACTGGATGCCAAAATAAGATAGGAATAAACTCACAGGAGCAAGTACAGCAGGGATCTACCAGTCGTCAGTAGAAATTATCCTCGTCGACACTCGTTTCGGCCCATGATTCCTAGACGCATTCGGAGTGGGCCCACCTGAGTTCATGAAGCTCAGGGCTGGTTCCCTGCTGCACGAAATTACCGGATGGTGTTTTACTTTCGGCCAGAGACAATACGACTTGGTGGTTTGCAGAAGGTACTGTGAGATAAGAAATCGCCGCGGGCAGCCTAATTAAAACAGTCAGCGTGCCTGGACGACCGAGCGACAAGCTTACGATTGGTTTACCGGACATGTTGGACTTTTATTAGCAGGTGGCAGAGGATCACTGGCAGACAATTCGGACACGATGGACTTTCAAGGGGTGAGAAACCCTTTTCCACTAGACACCTGGACCAGCTCACCGAGGCCCGTCCCCTACGTTGTTGCGTTGCGTCCAAAGCCAGCTAGAGGCCCTTTCGGCTACCTCTCCCAGTTTTTTGAGTGTTCGTTTCCGTTCATTACCGCGCAATCCTAGTTCTTTAACCACATTGTAGAGCGCTGTGAAACGAGGCCTCTCGCTCCCACTTCGACGGCAAAGACCCGTACTGTGTACGACTCGTTTCTCCTCAGACCGGCTGCTAAATCACTGTACTTCTCGAGCTTGTACAAATGATTCTCCTCCATACGCGACTCAAAGGGGACAGTCAACTCAATCAGGATGAGCTGCCGTTTTTGAGCAGAGTGGAGAACGATGTCCGGTCGCAGGCCGGTTTTACGGATCAACTCGGGGTACCTTTCATGGCCCGGCAGATCAACCGCCAGTAACCAGTCCCTCGCAGAGTCTAGCACAGATGGAGCGAATGCGTTTTGGTTGACCTTACCTTTTGGAACCTGCCCAGCCTTAAGGAAACGAATGGGGACGATGCTAGAACTGGCTCTGGCGTTAGCCCTCATTCTAGCCTGGTCGACAACGGCTGCTAACTCTTTTAGCACCTTGTTGTGTCGCCAGGTGTATCGGCCTTGACCTAGGGCTTTCCTGCACGCGGACAGGGCGTGCTCAAGAGTTTGCTTCGATTTACACAACGGGCAAGTCGGATCGTTGGTCGCAGACCATTTAACCATGTTAACACCGGACGGTAATACATCGTACGCTGAACGAACGATAAAGCTCAGTCGCAGCGGGGTCATCCGCCAGATCTCACCCCATGTGAGTACTCTTGGCAATGCGCTCTCCAGGCTGACCCAATGGCCCTGCTGCGACTGCTGGGCTGCTTTCTGGACCCGAACCTCGTTTTCGTTGTCCCTCACCGTTTGTATTATCATGTCTCGGTGCTCTTTGGCTGAGGCCTTTGACCACCAATTGACCTTCCCGTGCCCTAGGCCTCGACGGTCGGTTTGAGTGTATCCCCTTATCTCTCTCAATTTTAGTGCATTCTGGGCAGATTCTATCGCTTCGAAAACTCTCCACTTCCGGCCAGTCTTTAGAGCGGGCTGGACAGCGATGACATTTGGGTCTGAAGACTCGCGCAAGAGCATGGCGAGCCTTACCTTGCCGACTTTAAACTCTTCGGTTATCGATTTGAACGGAAGTACCAGCTTGGCCTGTTTGCAATACAGAGCCACGTCGGTCAGACAAGGCGGTGCACCAATCCACTTTCTCAAGGCTGTGTTGATTTTCTTCTCCATGGTTTCCACTGCAGTCATCGTCACCTCGTAGACTAACAGTGGCCATAGGAGCTTTGGAATCAACATGAATTGGAGACACCATACCTTGAATTTCTCGACCAGCCTGCATCGCTCGATCGCGAGCAGGCCTGTAGCCAGTGACTCATGTATTCGCCGGACTTCCGCTCTATCAGATAACTTCGAATCGTAAACGCGACCGAGACTCTTCACCGGTTCCTCCAGAACCGTAGGGATCTTGTTCCTTGCCACTGTAAAACTGGTTGCCGACACCCTGCCCTTAAGGATTGACAGACTCCTCGACTTCTGCGGTTTGAACTGCATACCGCTCCATTGGACCACCGCGTCCAATCTTTTCAGGATCGTGCGGGCAGACTCCTCGTTGCCCGTTATTATAGTCGTGTCATCCATAAATGCGCGTAGTGGCGGCAACGAGTGATCCCCTATTTGAAGGCCCAGTCCGTAGCCGGCCGCCCCGTCTAACATGATCTGCATTGCAATGACAAACAGTATGGGTGAAATCGTACAGCCCATAGCTATCCCAATCTGCAACTCAGTCCACCTCGTGGTAAACGTCGAGGTAGAGAAGCGCAAAGCGAACTTAGAGAAATATTGCTCGATCATTTGATTGATCTGTGCCGGTACGTGAAACATGCGAAGGGCTCGCCACAGTAGCCTATGGGGAACGCCTGGAATACCACCCTTCTGAACACTCGTATCTATATACTTGTTAGTCATCAGATACTGTGTGAGCCGGCGAGCCATGACCGAGAAGAATATCTTACCCTCGACATTCAACAGCGAGATGGGCCTGATTGGGAAAGACTCTTCGAGTCCTGCTCTTTGGGAATGTAGACCCCATTTTGCCTTTTGACCACTCTTGGACATATGTGTTTACGGATCCGACGCTTGTTTCAACAGAACTGAAGCATTTTAAGGATTTTCGGGCAACGCTTTTTAAAGAACGTACAAACCAACACGTTCGGACCTGGGGCAGATCTTGCCGCTGGCCTTTTTTCACACTTCCTCAACCTCAGACCAAAGGGGAGGTATCATTTTAATTGTACTTCGGCACCGAAGGCTGTTTGAGGGCCGCTAAGGATCTCTGGATTGGTTGTCGTCGCGCGCCCATCGTGGGTAAATACACTAGATATAGTGAGGGTGTGGGTTTGAACTATAACAATGCCCACCCACGTGAAAAACTGGACTATTATCTAAGCTATGTTGATCCTAGACAGTCCTGGATAGCAAGAAAACAGCGAGTGGCTCGTTCCATGAAATGAAAGTTGCTGTACTTGTATCCACAGTAGTAGGAGAAGGGATAGATAGATTATCAGGATAAACCACTGTTATATATCCTGAATACACACAGTTAAACCCCTCCGACTGTTCTCCTCTCCTGGCAATTACTTAAAAGACCCATCAAGTGATTTAAATATTTGTGAGCTGAAGTACACACTAATATGCACAAATGACACTTGAACCGAAGTACACAATTTACTCAACTATTTTGTGTAACAACATCAAACATGATTTTATTGAATAAATCAAATTAAAATGAACTTGTTTAGGCTAGTATAGTTGGGATGATGTTATAGATCACATTAAAGTTGTACAATACTTAGCTCGTCGGACAGTTCTCGGCTTGAGACCCCTGCCTATCTTTTCCAGTTTGTCGTCCTCACTGCTTTTAGCAGGTCGTTACACTCAGACGGTCGGCAAATAATGGGATGCCTACTAGTCCCTGCCCAATGTGGGAACTGTGATAAAGAAACAAGCGCATATTTGTAGTATCTGCTCTAGATGTACACTAAGCATGTATATTATAATATCAAACATGTTTTTTTAAAATAAAACATTTAATCTCTCCCTCATGTTCACATTCACATCCTGTCCCAATTTGGAAAGGGCTTATGTCTCACATTCCAACTGTTTACAACACTTATGCCTTCCTCTACAACGTCCCTGTAATGATAGTCAAGTCTTCTACGTCAGGTGCCATCTCTCGTACAGACTCAAAATGACAATCAGTCAGACAGAACCAATTCTGGAATCTATCTTGGAACAATCGACGCGCCCATAATGCTAACATAGTTTCTGGGCGAATCAAATAACAAATCTCGTGGATTTACTCCTCCGGGATCAATCTTCCACATTAGCCTCCCGAGAGTTAAACCACATTTCAGTGTGTTAGCTGTATGTAATACAGATTCACATTAACCTCACGTGAAAAGATTGCCAAAGTTATCTTCACGCTTGTGATTTCAAAAACATGATATTTCATTAAATTTCAATGGCAACAACAACATTTAGGTTTTACAACATTGAAACACATGTGCACGAAAAA